AGAGAGAGAGAGAGAGAGAGAGAGAGAGAGAGAGAGAGAGAGAGAGAGAGAGAGAGAGAGAGAGAGAACGAGGCGTCAGCCAGTGTCTAACGCTGAGTTTGGTGCACCAAACTCGGCGTCAGACACTGGCTGACGCCTCTCTCTCTCTCTCATGAATCTTCCTCTTTATCGAGGAAGATTCATTCTCGCTGGAAACATCTGATTTCGTTTTTTTTTTTTTTCAGATTGTTGTCCTCGTTTTTTTTTTTTTTTTTTTTTTTCCCCTGTTATGTACTACCGGTTGTACGAGGCTCGGCAATAAAGTCGAGGCTCGGGAATGACCGGCCTACCGGTAGCCTGAGCCACGGGCCTTGACAACCGGTAGGTACTGGTGGTTTAAGCCCAACATCCGTCCAATCAAGCGTCGAACTAAACAGCAGCAACAGAATGATATAGGGTTGCCTACCTATAGAGACAAAAGCCATTTTGTTCGAGCAAGATATATCTAACCAAACACCACCCTTAACCTAGGAACAGGCATGTCAAAACCCCAAACACCAAGGAGCCATAAAGAGGACACACATGAAAGGGAAAATCCTACATACCAGACATGTAAGCCAAGACAACAAATTGCAAAAGAGAAGAGGAAAGTTCTACCCTACAGAACAAAAAATAATCTAAACGCCACACTCCAATTCGACAACAAAACTTCGCAAAACCAAGTCCACGAAACAGGCAAATTTCGAAAAAGGCAAATTTCGAAAATAGCACAAAAACTAGTCTACTATGCAACCCGGCAATTTTGGACACTAACACTACTAAAACTATACATAACCCTAGTAGCCCTGAAACGATGTATGCCAAAGTTCCTCTCAAGAAGGTCTTCTATCTTCCAATACGGGCACAAAAGTTTCCAACCAGAAGACCTCCAACAATGCCTGGCTAGTTCAATCCTCTTAATGCTCGGACTCGCACAGCAAATCAGCTTCTTCAACAGCATCATAAGAAAGTCTAAGACGACAGCCTCACAGTCAATGCCTAAAACGGCATCATCAACAGCTTCATCACCAAGATTTTCGTACCTAAGATCATACGTGCCTCAGCACACTGACCAAGCTTCATACCCGGTATAAGAGCATCCTCCGGCAGGCATGCCACACCCACACGCCAACGCACTCTCTACTCGGCACGCCACTCTTTACTCGGCACGCCAGCATAACCACGCCTAACCTCCATGGCCAGGAGCGGTGGGGGCGGATGAGATCAGCCAAGCATGGCGACTCAACCGTGGCGACGCTCGCCGCCGGACCCAGCCCGCTGCGCCGTCACAAGCAGCTTCGGGCTTCAAACGCTAGGCCGCTCCGTAGCGCTCTCCCGCGGTCCGTTCACAGAAGAACATCCTCCTTCCCGAGATTCAGTCTTTTGACTATAAGCCAAACCGGCTGACGGTGGGGAATTGTGAGGTCCCCGGGGCCAAGTCCCACTAGCAGCGTTGCGCTACCTCAACGCCTGAATGTGGACGCTTTTGCGGAGATGTGCAGAAATGGTGTTGAGTTTCCTGAACTGAACGTCTCCGCGAATACGTCCAGATTCAGGCGTTGAGGTAGCTCAACGCTGCTAGTGGGACTTGGCCCCCGGCCTCAATTTTGAGATGATATAAAAAAAAGTAAAAAAATATGGGATCCCTTTGTGAATTTGTTTATTATTTTGGTGATAAAATGAACTCGACTCCAACGCCCCTCTCTCGCCATCGGCCGTCACCAGCTGCAGATCGCGGATGATTTCGTTGCAACAGCCCGTTCGGGACGCCCGTCGCCCCTGTGCCCGCCATCTTACGTCGCCGCTGCGCCCGCCATCGCCCGTTGCCAGCTGAGGCCCGTCTACGGTGAGACAGAGAGAGACCTCGTAGTCGCTCTATACTTCTCCTCTTCGTCGACATCCTTCTTCTCCGCTCCCATTCCTCCTCCTCCTATTCCTGCTCGTCCTCCTCCTGTCATCGCCACGTGGCTTTTTGCTTGTTTGTTTGGAAGACCCGCCATATCCTTTTCCTGCTTCTCCTCCTCTTCTTCTTCTTCTTCCTCCCCTCCTCCTGTTCCTCATCTTCGTCCGCCATATCTTTCTCCTCGTCTTCCTCTGCCTCTTCCTCCTCCTCTGAACCGGTGCCGCGCGGCACACGTGCTATATCCTCCTCCTCCTCCTCCACCTTTGTGCAGCCCGCCATATCTTCCTCCTCCTCCTCCCTTTTTGCAACCCGCCATATCTTCCTCCTCCTCCTCCTCCTCCTCCTCCGATTCTTCTTCTGCTTCCTACTCCTCCACCTCCTCGTCCTCCATTTTGCATCCCGCCATATCTTTCTCCTCCTCCTCCTCTTCCTCTTCCTCCTCCTCCGCTTGCTCGTCCTCCTTCTCCCCCTCTCCCCTCGTCCTTTCTCCCCACCCTTAACACGTGCCACGTGGCAATTCGTGCTCTCCCCTCCTCCTCCACCTCCCATTATCTTCCCCTCCCGCCATGTTTCTTTCTTTCTTTCTTTGAAGGCCGCGCTTACCATCGCTCTCCTCCTGACCTACTCGTCATCGCCCTCCTCCTCACCTCCTCGTCATCGCCCTCCACTTCTTCCTCCTTCTATTCTTATTGTCGTCGTCCTCCTCCTCCTCTTGTTCTTCTTCTTTCTCCTCCTCCTGTTCTTTTTTTTTCTCCTCCTCCTGTTCTTCTTCTTTCTCCTCCTGTTCTTCTTTTTTTTCCTCCTCCTCCTCTCAACAGGTGCGACTTCCTCCTCGCTTGTTTTTTTGTTTTCGCCACCCCGCCATATCTTTCTCCTCCTCGTCCTCCTCTTCTTCTCCCGCCATACCTTTCTCCTCTTCCTCTTCTTCTTCCTCCTCCTCCTCCTCCTCCTCCTCCTCCTCCTCTTCTTCTTCTTTCTCCTCCTCTGAACAGTTTCCACGTGGCACGTTTTTTTTTCTTTCAGACCCACCATATCTTTGTCCTCCTCTTCCTCCTGCTCTTCCTACATGTAGTCCTGCTCCTGCTCTTCCTAGTCCTCCTCCACTTCTTCGTCCTCCTCCTCCTCTTCTTCTTCTTCCTTCTCTTCTTCCTTCTCTTCTTCCTCCTCCTCCTCGTCCTCCTCTTCTTCTTCCTCCTCTTCTTCTTCTTCCTCCTCCTTCCACCTCCTCCTCTTCTTCGTCGTCCTCCTCTTCTTCTTCATCCTCCTCCCCCTCCTCTGAACAGGTGCCACGTGGCACACGTTTTTTTATTTTTTTTCGCGGACGTGCCATATCTTTATCCTCCTCCTTCTCCTCCCCCTCTTCCTCTTCGTCCTCCTCCTCCTCCTCCTCCACTTCTCCCGCCAGATCTTTCTCCTCTTCTTCTTCTTCCTCCTCCTCCTCCTCGTCTTCTTCTTCCTCCTCTTCGTCTTCTTCTTCTCCTCCTCCTCCTCCTTTTCTTCTTCTTCCTCCTCCTCGTCCTCTGAACAGGTGCCACGTGCCACGCTCTTTTTCTTTGCTTTGATTTTTGCAGACCAGCCATATATTTGTCTTCCTCGTCCTCCTCGTCCTCTTCTCCCGCCAGAACTCTCTCCTCCTCCTCTTCTTCTTCTTCTTCCTCCTCCACCTCTGAACAGGTGCCACGTGGCACGCTTTTTTTTGTTTTTTTTCCTTTTTATCTCAAGCGCCTTAGTATACTCTACTTGTTCACCTGTCTTGGTTTGGGGCACCGTTCAATCTACAAATGATTCTAGAAGTTTTTTCCCCGAAATCGAGGCACTGTCCAATCATCCAATTTTGTTTTGTTCAGTATTGTTGAATTAAAAGAAACCTTTTAGGCCATTATTGTCACTTCGCCATATTTGTGTTAATTCAGTTCAAACCATATTTGTGTTCATTCAGTCCAAACTAGTTTATTTTTGCATATCCTTTTTATTTGTTTAGGCAAAATAATTTTCGGTTCACCAAACTCTTCCACATTTTGTACTCCAAAATTGAATTCGTCTCCAATTGTCCTTTTTTCTTCCAGTTCATGTTTCAAACTGCAATCAGACTCGCCTTCATTCACACTTCACATGCATGCAAACAGGTTGTGCAGCAAACTGCCGACAAGCGCCCACTCAGAACTCAGAGATATGATAACCAAGAACACAGTTCAGATACATTCTCACGTCAGATGGCTAGGGCGCATCAGCGCCTATACAAATCTCTGTTCGTCACTCACACAACGCTGCTGTTCACACACCGGATCACCTTGGATATCCCACACGCGTGACCCTGTCCACGCGCACACACACCTACATGCTACTCCCTTCTAACAGCTATGGCGGCTATGGCTGCTGCTATCCCTATCGCTATGGCTAAGCCCCTTCTCGCCCACTTGGTCCTCGGGCTCACTGCAGACCACCTCGCACAAGTCGCTATGGCAGCGCTTCCGCATGGCTTACGCAGGAATGAATGAATGGCTGGGCGCTGCCTCTTGATTTATACTTCTGTAACTCGTTGGTCTGCCCCTTTCCATCGGCCCATGGTGCACACAGTCCCTCATGGTACTTGCTGGACTGGACTGGGACTGACTGGACCGGTACCGCTGACTGCATGGGTTTGCACTGCCAACTCAATGCAGTCGCCGCTCACCACTTGCCCACTTGCCTCTGACTGAAACGTGAGGCAGCTTCGAAAGGCCACTTCCAGACCTTCCGGAAGTCTGTGGACTTGGCCTTTCGAGTACTGTAGCAGCTACTTGGCCTTTTGAGTACTGTAGCAGCTACGACCTTGACCTTTCAGGACTGTAGCAGCTACGACCTTGACATTTCAGGATTCCTACAGGTACGACCTCTACAAGGCTGTGACTCCTACTTGACAGATCTACAGATAGAACCCCTACCACTACACAGACCTCCGACAGACAACAACAACTATCAAAACACAGGTCACGGGTTCAAACACTCGGGTCGACACAGATACTGTACAGAGGTAAAGTGAGGACTAGGGATCGAGCCCTGGGATCTGCATCTGCTACTGCTAACAGGTGAATACCGTTTCAAAACAAATGAATAGAGTTTTCAGCCCTGTTTCAACCACCACGCTGGTACTCCGGATCTTCACGGAGAATTCAACTTCACTGAGCCCATGTTGGAGATAGTGGGGCAGTCCGTACACCATTTGTGCAGGTGGCTACTTATGCGACACAATTGTGTTAATTGAAATAAACTTTGAACATCATGTCAACCGAGGCCTTCCTCCTTCGTGTAGCCACGAAGTTCAGACTTTGCAGACCCGCCATATCTTTCTCGTCGTCCTCCCCTTCTCCCGCCATATCTGTCTACTACTCCTCGTCTTCTTCTTTCTTCTCCTCCTCCTCTTCTTCTTCTTCTTCCTCCTCTTCCTCATTTGAACAAGTGCCACATGGCACGTTTTTTGTTTTCTTTTTTTTGTCAGAGCTGCCGTTTCTTTCTCCTCCTCCTCCTCTTCTCCCGCCATATCGTTCTCCTCCTTCTCCTGCTCCTCTTCGTTCTTTTCTTGCAGGACTGCCGTATCTTTGTCCTCCTCGTCCTCCTCGTCCTCTTCTCCTTCTTCCTCCTCCTCCTCTTCTCCCACCATATCTTTCTCCTCTTCTTCTTTTTCCTCCTCCTCCTCCTCCTCCTCTTCTTCTTCCTCCTCCTCTTCTTCTTCCTCCTCCTCTTCTTCTTCCTCTTTTTATCTTTCCTCTCCTCTTCCTCCTGTTCTTCTTTGTCGTCGTGCTCCTCCTCCTACTCCCCTTCCTCTTCTTCCGCCATATCTTTCTCCTCCTCCTCCTATTCTTCTTCTTTTGCCGTATCTTCTCGTCCTCCTCCTCCCGTCAGCAAATGCGACCTTTCTTTTTTTCTTTCCTGAGAAAACTTGTGTGTGTGTGTGTGTGTGTGTGTGTGTGTGTGTGTGTGTGTGAGAGAGAGAGAGAGAGAGAGAGAGAGAGAGAGAGAGAGAGAGAGAGAGAGAGAGAGATGGCACAAGGCGGCAGACTGCTGCTGACGTGCGAGGCAGGTACAGGGCCTGCCACGTAAGCACTAACACCAACGTGGCAGGCCCTGCCCTCTACACAATGCAGGCTGACGTAGGAAGAGGAGGGACTGCCACGTCAGCTCTGTAGCTGCTGCTGATGTGCCAGGCCGCTGTTTTTTTTTTTGAAGAATTTAATGGTGGAAGAAGAGGAGGGCCTGCCACGTCGCCTGGCCGGAATCAATGCTGTCGCAGCATCGTTCATGTGAATGTGTGTGTGTTTTGAATTTCACCACAACAGCCCCTATTCCACCCAGATGAGTACATCCAAAATTGAAGCAGCTTTAATCCCATGGCTGACAACGAAAACACTTGAGACAAACCAACAATGAACACTTGAGTTGAGACAATCCAACAATGAAACAGTTTTACCTCTATAGCAATCAACATGGAGCATAGTTAAAGCATTTAAATCCTTTCTTAATTGTTTGTGTGTGTGTGTGCACTAACACACACACATAGCTTTGGGTCGCCCCGTTTTATTTTCTCTTGCACCTCCCCTCTTACTGTGCCTAACACATATAAGGCTGGTGCGTGTCATGCTGCAGTAGTACTGAATCTGACCTGTTGCTGCACTGCTGCGCCATCACACTGACACACACTGCAGCATCACACTGCGCCATCACACGGACACACTGCAGCATCACACTGCAGCTGTATTGAATCTGGACGGGCTCATCTCAAGTGTGTTTCTATGTCTGCAATTGAGGTAAAGTTTCTTTGAATTTGGTTCTACTCTTGTGGGTGGAATAGGGGTTGTTGTGGTGAAAATCACACACGCACACACGCGCAACCTGTTGCTGCACTGCTGCAGCATCACTGAGACACACTGCAGCATCACACTGGATCATCACACTGACACACACTGCAGCATCACACTCACACACACTGCAGCTGTACTGAATCTGGACGGCCTCATCTCAAGTGTGCTTCATTGTCTGCAATTGAGGTAAAGTTGCTTTGAATTTGGATCTGCTCTTAAAAAAAAAAAAAAAAAAAAAGGATCTACTCTTGTGGGTGGAACAGGGGCTGTTGTGGTGAAAATCGCTCACACACACACAACCTGTTACTGCACTGCTGCAGCATCACTGAGACACAATGCAGCATCACGCTGACACACACTGCAGCATCACACTGCATCATCACACTGACACACACTGCACCATTACACTGCAGCGTACTGAATCTGAACGGGCTCATCTCAAGTGTGCTTCATTGTCTGCAATTGAGGTAACGTTGCTTTGAAATTGGATCTACAAAAAAAAAAAAAAAAGGATCTACTCTTCTGGGTGGAACAGGGGCTGTTGTGGTGAAAATCACACACACACACACATTTTTCTCAGGGGTATCGCTAACTCTGGGCGATGTGGTGAGTCCTTATCCATCAGTCAAAATCATCCTGAGCAGACTGTCGGGGTTCAACCTCCTGATGAGTCGGTGAAAGTCCGACGAAACAGTCTGTTCGGTACAGTCATGCTTTTTTTGAGTGTATAGCAAATATGACAACGCACACACACACACACACACCTTGGCAGATTTGAGCGGTTTGGATTGGGCCCTTACTAGTGAGCTACTCTTTCTCTGTGGATGGATGCGTTTTGTTGGTTTGTTTTTTTATACATGGCCTAATTCTTTACCCTGCTTTGTAGCATGGGCTGTCTTGTTGATGAAGTAATGTCTGTGGGTGTCACAAGTTTTTTCTGGGGTGGGAGTTTGGGGTTTTGGCCGCATTATCTCTGGCAGGAGGCTCAGAGAGTGTTTGCTGTGGGTGTCATTCTCGCGGGCTGCTCTTTCGGAGCACATGGAAGAATGGGTTGCCTTCTAGGGTGTTTTTTTTTTTTTTTGTTGAAAATGCTAATTCTTTAAGCCCAACGAATTCAAATACCTGTCGAATCTGGACAGGACGGCCTTTCAGGCCTTTTTTGTTGTCATTATAGTATTACGGGGAACCCCGTACCAGCCACATCCGTGCTCAAGCCTCCAACGAGGGAACATACGGGAGCTGCACCCACCAGCAGGTGTGATACCTGCTACAGCAGGTGGGCGATACCGGCCAGGGGTCAGCTGGTAGCATCAGGACCGAGCTTCTTCGATGGGCCAGTCACTGTGCCTCCCCTCTGGTCCCCTCCCCCTATGAACATCAGCAGTCTCTGCTCAATGCCACTGGGGGGGACCGACGGGATATCTCTAGGTGGTGGGCGCCAAGCTTGCCCAGGAAGGTACATGAGGCCAATTGGGATTGAACCCAAGACCTCCTGAATGCCACTTGCGTGCCTTACCAACTGAGCTAGGCCGCTGGATGCTTCTAGGGTGTTTTAAGAAGTAGCGCTCCTGGTGTCGCGTGGAGATCTTGTGGAATTTGGCATAGTTCTGGAAGTGGCCTCACTGTAGCACTAGGACATCATCCGATTCTGCAGGTTGTGCGGCAGGGGAAGGTTCATGGCACTCTTGGTGTTGCATACAGGTCCTGCAGTGTATTGTCTTTTTGATTTGTGGTGGCGTTGTAGGCTGTCGCCATTGGCATGTCTGGTCGGTAGTTTTTGTTAGCGGAGCCTTTTGTGTTATATGCTGTTTTGCGGTTTTGTGGGCGGACGTGGAGGGCTCTCCAAGTTTTTTTGGACCTATGGCGGATGGGGTCGGTGCTTTCTTGCTGGTGGAGTCCTCTGTCTTAGGTAAGTTGCTTCTTGCCCTCCACCCTTTTATGGATCAAGTGCGGCAGACGGATGTGTGGGCACTTGACGCTGAACCACACAAACGTGGCCAACCTTGCATTTTCTATTATATTATTACTTTTCGTTATGGATGGTTTGTTATGTTTTGTGGGGAAATGAGAGAGATAAGTTGGGGTGCTTTAACAACACACCCGCACAAAATATAAGAGGTGATGAACAGGTGGGGCTTTCCTTCCTTCCTTCTTTTCCTTTCCTTGTTTTCCTTTTTTTGGCCTTTGCGCTCTGATTCACAGTGTGATCTGTTTTGTTGCCCCCTGTTCTGTTTTATTTGGCTGTTCCCTTCCTCTCTTCTTTGCCTCTTTGCCTTTTGGCTGTGTGCAAGTGCGTCGATATGACACACGGGGGTGGGGCAGCCGCCGCTCAACCTACATCCACGCGGGCTCAACCTACATCCACGTTGGCGGCCTTGTACGCAAGAGGTTCTGAACAGGGGGAGTTGTAAGGAAGAAGATTAAAAATGAATTACGTTTTTCTTGGTGTCCTTGTTTTCTTTCGTTTTTCGAGTTGGCGCTCTGATATCATGTGAGGTTAAGTTTTTTTTTGTTTTCCTTGTTTTCTTTCGTTTTTCGCTTCGGCGCTCTGATATCATGTGACAATATGCAGTTTGTCACAGCCCCTCGTTTGTTGTCCTCTTCTCTCTCTCTGCCTATGGTTTACCGGGCAGTTCTGTTTGTGACGATATATATTGACTATATATATATATATTTATATGGGATGTAAAGTAAGTCGGTGGCCTTTTTCCCTTCCCCCCCCCCCCCCCCTTTTTTTATATTTTTTTCTTTTTCTGGTCACTGTTTTTCTGTATTGTTTATTTGTTTTCCTTGTTTTCTTTCGTTTTTCGCTTCGGCGCTCTGATATCATGTGACAATATGCAGTTTGTCACAGCCCCTCGTTTGTTGCTCTCTTCTCTCTCTCTGTCTACGGTTTACCGGGCAGTTCTGTTTGTGACGATATATACCTGTCTNNNNCCCCCCCCCCTTTTTTCTTTTCTTGTTCTTTTTTTACCCTCATTAATTGAACTAAAATAGTCTACGTTGATAGGAAGGCTTACTAGGGAGAAGAAAAAGACTGCGCTGAAGGATGAGAATCAGACTACAGGGCTAGTGATGATCATGCAAGCCTACTCCAGACTGGAAGCGGGAATATTTTTCCCAAGAAAAGCTAAAAAAACACGCTATTCAAGTACGCCCTGGGACTTCGGATGGTCCCTGAGGAACGCATAGAAATTATATTAATGAATTTTTATTTATTTTTTAAGATTTAATAGTTATTGTAACAAAATATTATTTTCTGGGACCCGGTCCGTAATACCGAAACGGGCAACGCACACAGATGAATGGAATCGACACTGCCACCTAAAAGAGCATGAACAGGGCTAAGACCCTCACTCGCCAATGAGACTGGACGCTTCATTTGCCAGCCAACCGTGTATTGTTTGCCCCATCAATCTATGACCACACTGGATGTATGTGGTGCTCCACATTGGCCTCGGTAACATCGATGCGCCATCAAGGCAATTCTACGGATCTTCGTCGTTCGCTCTCACTGCTGCCAGTCCGCTCGCTCCCCCGTTCACTTTATTGCTTTCCTGGTCTCCCTCGCCATCTCCCCCTGTTTTCTCATTCCCCCCCCCCCGCGGCTCCGCTCATGCCCACCTTGCCATCCCCGCTGCTGGCTGTCACCTCGTACTTCGAACTGCTGTGCAGGATTGCCCCCCTAGCATCCCTCCTACCAATCACTCTTACTATTGCGCCCTCCTTGGAAATCTTCGTCACGAAGGTCTGGAGAGAGTCATTCTTCTCATTGAAACCCTCCTTTGTCGTTGCCTTCACCCCTTGAACGAGATTGATGGCCTTTTCCGTCAGTTTTGAGGAGATGGTCCATCACGCTACAACCGACGAAGGGGCTGACAAGATTATCCCAGAGGTGATTTTTTCCCCTTCTTTTTCCTTTTCTGTTTCTTCGCATCAGCTGCTCCCCCGTTCCCCGCCAACTTATCTTTGCCTAGACTTGGAATGGTGATGACCGATGCTACGTGTGCTCTTATTTTCCCTCTGATGAGCTTTTGATAGTGGCGGTGAAGCGGAAAGTGCTTTAGGGATGCACCACCCTCCCTAGCCAAGTAGCATCCTGGAAAAGACGTACCTACCCTTTGTGTGGTATAATGGTAGTCTTACACACACATTCATCTATTTTCCCCTCCCTCTCTCTCCCTGGCTTCTCCTTACTTTCCCTTGTCTAAGCTGTGCACTCATCATTGTGTGATGTGATGTGATGTGATGTCATGTGGGTGTGTGTGTTGATGGCGCTCTATGCATGTGGAAGGTGAAGTTCGCACACAATTGATTGTGCCGCTTGGATGAATGAGCAACGAGCATCTGCTGTCTGAAGATCTTTCCGCTGCTGAACGATGGGCCTGTGGTTACTTGGCCAAGTTCATGAATCCTGTATCAGTTCTTCATGTGAGATGCGGACCAGTAGATAGCGTCATTATTGGTGATCTCGGGATATGTTGTCTGAAGGGCTATTGGGCGATTTCTATGATGTGTGAAGAGACGGTCGGGAATCATTTTTTCATTTTTTTCATCTTTTTTTCATTTATTTTCGTGCATTTTCCCCCCTCCTTTGTTTGATAATCATACAGCCATTGGATTTGACCTCTCACATACTTGGGAGTCTTGTATCAATCTCATAGGGATCCACGGGTGCCCGCGTGATAGAGTAGGCAGCATCATTTTTTTGGGTGTGTTTCATTGGGGCCTTCAATGAGACGTGTGCTACCAATGATTCGGGCATCAATCGCGTAGTAGAGATGCTCACTGTCTAAAGGAGTACTTGGCGAGTTTCATTGGACTCTTTGATGGTGTAAGATTCAAATATCAGTCCCGTATTAGCAGTGGGATTGTCGACAATCTTTTGCTGTTCCGCTTCCATGTTTTCTTTCTTGCTGTATTTCTTATGGCATGCCTTGATGAGAGCATCACTTTGTAGGTAGGCTGTATATCTCAGCTATCTGAGGATAACGAATCCAATCTTTCAAGGAACTCATATATCTGCAATGCGCTGACACTGTGCTGTAGCCTGGGTAGATATAAGGTGTAATGAGGATCATAGCCTGTATATATGAGAGTAAGCTCATCTGTGCATGCTGATGTACTTCGGGATCAATCATTGACTGCATAGCTACTGATATGCCGCCGATAGTCATCGCTTGCATGCCCGCTTACGCAGCAGTTAGTGTTATTTATGTCTCCGACGTTTTCGCGGCGGGCTGGTAATTTAGTGGCAGCACCCTTCGTGGGAAGGCTCAGTAGAGAGAAGAGAAGGACAGTGCTATAGGACGGGAATCAGATGCTGTGCATACGAGTTCATTTTAAACTGTGTGGATGTTATTGGTGATTGGGTCAATAAAAGGCATAAGGGAATACTGCGTTCTCGATAAATCACCATCCATTTCAATGAGCATGCCTGTGAGAATGCACTCGGGATACTCTTGTACGGAAAGAATCACAGTAATGTAGAATAAGCGTTTATCCATTCCATTGAGAACTTGCTGGTGTACTTTCGATTTCGGTAATTTTGGAGGAGGAGATGTGTATCATGGCTTTTAAGTGTGAGATGGGCTACTTTGACTTCGCCATTTCTGTGTCTCAGGCTTTGTTACCTCATGGCTTTAACTTTTTAATGGGTCATCTTTTCGACTTTCTTTTTTCGATCTCTTCTTTTCTTTTCTTTTCTTTTCTTTTCTTTTCTTTTCCTTTCCTTTCTTTTCTTTTCTTTTCTTTTCTTTTCTTTGCTTCTCCATCTGTTTGTCTGTCCCCTCCAGCGCCTCCCCTCCGTCTTCTCCCCTCTCCTTTCTCTCTCTCTCTCTCTCTCCCGCTCCTCCCTTCGCTCTCCCTTGATCTTCATGCCTCTCCCGCTCTTCTCCTCGTGTGCCTCCGTTCCCCCCCCCCCACCACCCCAAAGTCTTCGCCGCTTTGTACTTTACCCTCTGCTTGCGCCTCCCTCCCCCCCTTCTTCGCTGTGTCGTACTTTACCTCTTTCTTGCTTTCTCTTGTAGCTCCCACGCATGAATGGACAACGACATAGCTTGAGTGGTCCTGTGAAAGATCTTTTACATTGACAGATCATTTTACAAATCCTAGAGTTGTCAGATCCACGTAAAAAAAAAGAACTGGAATCGTCACTGTGATGATATATAGTATTTTCAGTGTTATGGGCCTGAACGTTTGGGGAAGGCCGGAGGGGGTGTACCCACCCCCATAAGCTAGGCTGATTGCGTGGTGCTGAACCCAACTGTTTTAATATATTTTTCGGTTCTCTTTTGCTCATTGCCTATGCCGTAAGCTACCTCTCTACCAATG